AGATTAGAACCGCTGAACTGCAGATAACAGTCAACTGAATGGCCTGCAGTACTGCACCCTAACCACTGAGCCACCTCAGCCACCCCATAATTTGTCCCCTTCTTCTTTGTGGCAGCCCCTTAAATACTGGAATACTGCTATCATGTACCCCCTAGTCCTTCTTTTCTTTAGACTAGCCAAACCTAAATCCCGCAGCTGTTCTTCATATGTTTTAGTCTTCAGGCCCTTGATCATCTTAGTTGCTCTTCTCTGAGCTTTTCCAAACCATTTGATCACCTGAGCACGAGTCTGCTACAGAGGTGGTATTCAGCAGGTTGTGACCAGTTCTGGAGAACCGTTAGCGGAAATTTTGAGTAGTTCGGAGAACCGGTAAATACCACCTCTGGCTGGCCTCGCCCCCATCTATTCTCTGCTCCTGAATCCTAGCTGATCGGGAGGAAATGGGGATTTTGCAGTATCCTTCCCCCGGAGTGGGGAGGGAATGGAGATTTTATAGTATTTTTTTCCTGCCACACCCACCAAGCCACGCCCACCAAGTCATGCCATGCCCACCAAGCCACGCTCATGGAACCGGTAGTAAAAAAAATTGAATCCCACCACTGGTCTGCTTCCTTGGTTTTAAGTGTGACAAATGGTCATCATGAGATGCATTTTTTTCAGTGCCACTGTAACGTCAGATAGCAATAAACGAATCGTTGTAAGTCGAGGACTACCTATATTTCTTAGGTTCTTCGTGGCAGCAGGTATTGCTAAGCCAGATTCTGTTTGGCTGTGCGACCTTTTGCTGGAGAGAACTGTGGTTTGATATTCCAAAAACTCTTAAGAGATAACGCATTCGTTGCCTTGACTACACTCACTGCCCACATTTGCAGTTTTATAAAAGGGTTACAGAGCTCCGGTTAAGATGCTTTAACATTTTCTAGATAATTGATGGAAATAAAATGGATCAAATTACAATGCATTGTAAAAAGAAGTACTTGATTACTGAAATTATTAAGTATTATCTACTGAAAACTAATTCAGAAAATTACTATAATGGATACACTGAACTTATTATTAGTGAATAAAATGTCAAAATATTAAGCTACTGAGTTATTAAACAACCCAGTGATCATATATATTGACACAGACATACAGGTGTAGTCTCGTAGGCATGTGCACAGACACATTATTATATAACTTCACTAGATAATAACCTGTGACCTCTTGGGTCTTCGTTTCAGTGATATTCCCTTACCAGATTCCTTCATGCCTTTGGTTTGTAATGTGCTGCCTTCGCTTGAAAAGTTCTTAAAAATACAGAGAGAAATTTAGAGCTGTATCTACCTTGGAAGAACCTGTGCTGAATTGTATAGCACCATGATGGTGAACCTATGGCATGAACCTATGGTGTCCACATGCGCGGGAGACAGTGGTGGGTTCCAGATCCCGGTGCCACCGGTACTGTGCAACGGGGCCCAGCATCCATCACATGAATGTGTGCAGGACGCGAGCACATGTGCGCCGCCGTGCATGCATCCTTACCTCCTGTGATGCTCCGTGATGCCTGTGCGACGCTCCAGCTGCTCGGTGGAGCATCGCGCAGGCTCCGTACGCTCCATGCGCATGTGAGGAAGTGCTGAAGAGCTCAAATATCAGTAAGGAGCTCAGGCGGGCGGATGGGCCCTCCGGAGCACCGTACCGGAACGGTACCCAGTGCTCCTGGCATGCACTAGTATGCCCGTACCAGGGCGTATTGGTCGTAACCCACCACTGGCAGGAGCCCTAGAAACTGGAAGATCAGCTGCCTGCCTGCTGCTCTACACCTGTATGCCTGCTTATATATTGCAAGTGCAAGTGCAACACAAATGTAACAAGGCAACATAAAAAAAA